TGATTGACAGATGACCGTTGATATATGATTGGCTGAATCTAGGTGTTCAGGCTGACGTAGAACTAACTGGCCTGCAGAAGATAACGGAAACAAAACACATACATGTGCAACATTTATATACACGTTTAAGCCAGAATGATCTGACATTTAAATATGATTTCCCTACGACTTTAAAGCAGGCTGGAAGATGATGGGTGTTTACGCTGACGGAGCAGGATGGTGAGGGGTGAGGGCCCCCATCTGAGTGCCCCCTACAGGCCAGGAAAAATCCTACCATCACAAACATAACCATCCAGCATCTGTTGAGCTCAGCTAGGACTCTAACCGGGACTCTTTTCTTTGCTCATAAGAACTAAAGTTGAGTTTTTCAGACACGTAGTTTTGGTTCAAAGCTAATTCAATAGAATGACTTTTAATCACTTTACAAACTAAAAGAACTTTAAGAGGTCAGTAAATGAGTAACATCCTTTACAGTTTTAACCCTGCCTAACAGATAAGAACAAAGCCTCTGTGGTGTTTTTACGGCGACGCCTCCTGGACCTTGGCCTCCTGGATCCCTGTAGGAGGAGGAGGAGGAGGAGGAGGAGGTGCGCTTTCCCCTGACCCATACTCACACACTGCAGAGATGAGCAGGAAGAGGACGGCTACAGAAAGGAGGCCTGAATCCTTCCTGCAGTAGCTGAGCAGCCGTCCCAGTGTGGCCCTAGAGCTGCTCGCCTCCTTCCTGCCTCCTGCCTCCTCCTTCCTGCCTCCTCCCTCCTCCTCCTCTTCATCAGCTGCCTCCACCAGCTTCTCTGTGTCCTCAGAGACCCGTCCTCCTCCACCGAGGCTGTTGCTGACGGCCCGCCGGCTCTCAGAGCTGCAGATCCTCCCAAGCTGCTTCCAAAGCATCACCACAGCCAGTGAGGAGGCGCAGGTCCAAGCGATCAGGCTCAGGGGCCACGGCCGCTGGCTCAGGGGCCCCTCCAGCTCGCTCAGCATCAGCAGCTTGGTTAAGGCGTAGGTGATGATAACCATGCAGAGGAGCAGAACGACGGTGGCGACCCGGGCGACCCTCTGAGGGCCCTCCTCCTTGTTCCATGAGACCCCCATGGAGGCGCCCAGGAGGAGGGCCCCTCGGAGCAGCACCGTCCCCCACAGGTCCAGGACTGAGCTCAGGATGTTAAAGTCCAGAACATCTCGTGTGAAGGTGGACGGTGGGGTCCCCATGGTGTACAGGACGGTGCTGATGACGCCATCCAGGGCAGCGAAGAGCAGAGAGCAGATGACAGGGAGAATGGTCGCCATGGTGACCATCTGAGGCTACGTGGGAGAAAAAAAACTGATTATTTACAATAAACTAAATACAGCAGCTTTAATTTAGTTTCATAAACTTAAATGTGTTTAAAGAAACTCACTGCTATGAATTATTTCTCCTTATATCTTTAAAATGATCGTATTTCCGCCTCCATGCAGCTTCTTTCCAACTTCGCTGCTACTAAAGCGGGTCTCGCGGCGGACGTGGTGGTCAGGTACGGCAGTGACGTCAGCAGAGAATCCCCCTCTGATGTCGGCTAATGGTTAGCATTAGCCGTTAGCATGTGTTGAGCTGATGTCAGGTCAGAGTGAGGGAGCTCAGCGTCCAGCTGCTGGTCTCCTCTGATCACTTCCTGCTTTCTGCCTCCGTTCAGGTTCGCAGGAGCTCCTCGGAGCCATGATGGCCTCAGAGGAGCAGGTGAGGCGCCATGGCGGCCGGCCGGCATCAAAGATCCTCTATAGCGAAGAGCTCTCACACTGACAACTATTCCGCGGAGCTCTATTTTTATTATTATTATTCCATTGACATTAAAAATACATGAACAGAACTTTAGAAAAATACAAAGTAAAACAAAAAGCAGGAGATTTATATCAACAAACATTTAAATCAATTATAGAAAGAGCCATAGAAATATGAAAAAACAAAAAAAAAAGGTAGATTAAATTAGAATAGCAGATGTTGGGAGAATTCAAGACTCAATTTTTTGGCATATTTTTATTTCTTTTTATCTCTTTAACAGAAAAAAAAAAAAGGTTTTAAAGTCATTAATGAACCAATGAAAGGAAGGTTTAGTATTTCTCCATCTAGTGGATATGATATTTACCAAACAGCAGGAAGATATTAATAGTCAAAGTCAAAAAGCCTTTATTGTCTTTATTATATTCTGCGACAGATACAATGAGATTTGGGACTTCCATAACAGCTACCGTGAAATAAAAATAAAAAATATATAAAAAATATATAAATATATTAAAAGGAAAAGGAAATGTAAACAGTTACAAAAAAAATATATAAATAAATAGTATCAGAAACAGGCTGAGGAAGATGGTCCATATAAAAAATGACATCATTTAGGGCAAATGGGGGCATCATTCATTTTCAATAAATCCAATCTTTCATCTCTTTCCAGAAGCGATGTGTTAGAGGACACACGTAAAACAGATGTTCAAGAGTTTCACTATTATTATTACAAAAGGAACATTAATCCACCTCAAAACCAAATCTTTTTTTATATTCTGCCACAGGATACATTTTATTTATAACTTTAAAAGGTGTTTCTTTGACTTTAGGTAGAATAGGTAGT